AACGAGGTGAAAGGAAGGGTGGGTGGGAGAGGAGGAGAAAGAGAGAGAGAGAGAGAGAGATAGGGGGAGGGAGTGGAGGAAAAAATAGAAATGAAAGACCGTTAGTTTACTACCATTCCCCCTGGGGCTCTGGGAGACTCGAACCGTGAACCCCAAGAGTGTGAGTGTGTGTGTGTGTGTGTGTGTGTGTGTGTGTGTGTGTGTGTGTGTGTGTGTGTGTGTGTGTGTGTGTGTGTGTATGTGTGTGTATGTGTGTGGTGTGTGTGTGTATGTGTGTGTATGTGTGTGGTGTGTGTGTGTATGTGTGTGTGTGTGTGTGTGTGTGTGTGTGTGTGTGTGTGTGTGTGTGTGTGTGTGTGTGTGTGTGTGTGTGTGTGTGAGAGTGTGAGTGTGTGTGTGTGTGTGTGTGTGGGGCCGAAGCTCTATCGACCGAGTTATTGCGTTTCCGTTTTTACCGTTAGTTCAGTTGATGTTGATTATGGTAAGAGACCAGCCAGCGGTGTTAATGGCCCATACCAACCAAACCGAACCACCCCCAAGGTATCCCCAAGATAATCCCAAGAAAATCCCAAGGTATCTCCAAGATAATCCCCAAAGAACTCACCCCAATAAAGAAAAAACACAAATATAGCTTTTCACATACGGAATCTTGGCCCCCCCCCCCCCCCCCCCAAGTATTGGACCTATACTTAAAACTGAAGGTTCGTACACAGAGGATGACAAAGGAATTAGTGAAATCTTAAAAGAACAGTATGAGGCTATGTTTAGCGCCCCAAAATACATGAAAGTTGAAGATACGGACATCTATTTTATGAAAGGTATCAAAACAATGTAACTGATATTGAACACGAGCTCAGAAGGCTTTGAATGATAAATGACTACTAAAATTCAACCTCGGGAAAGTGTAAAGTAATGAAATTAGGCGAAGGGAGCAGAAGGCTGAACAAGGTACCATCTGGGAGGTGATATCCTGCAAGAGTCAAAGAGAGAAAAAGATCTGGGGGTTGATATCACACCGAACCTGTCCCCAGAGGTCCACATCAAAAGGGTATCATCAGCGGAATACGTTAGATTGACCAACATAAGAACTGCCTTTAGAAACTTTTGTAAGGAATCGTTCAGGACCCTGTATACCACTTATGTCAGACGAATCCTGGAATATGCAGCTCCAGCCTGCAGTCCATACCTACTTAGAGAAGATTCAGAGGTATACTACCAGACTAGTCTCGGAACTGAGAGGCATGAGCTACCAGGAAAGGCTACGGAAGCTGAACCACGCATCCCTGGAAAACAGAAGAATAAGGGGAGACATGATAACCACCTACAAAATTATCAACGAAAGTGACAGGGTGGACAAAAATAAACTCATTACCTCGGGCGGAACACGAACAAGGGAACACAGGTGGAAACCCAGTACTCAGATGAGCCAGAGACATTAGAAAGAATTTGTTCAGTGTCAGAGTAGTTAACAAATGGAATGGATCAGGCAGTGATGTGGTGGAGGCCGACTCCATACACAGTTTCAAATGTAGATTTGATAGAGCTGAATAGGCTAAGAATCTGTACACCAGTTGATTGACAGTTGAGAGGCGGGACCAAAGAGCCAAAGCTCAACCCCCGCAAGTACAACTAGGTGAGTACACACACACACACACACACACACACACACACACACACACACACACACACACACACACATACATTGTACCAGTTAAGTTCTTCACACCACATCTTAAATGGGTGAATTTTCTCCCATTGTAATAACCTCCCAAGTGTTAAGAACTACGATATCCACTGCGTCCTTTCCCAGACACCAGTCTGCTTGACCATTTAAGTAAGATATCCGCCTGTGTGTGACCACATCAAAGGCACTCAGGTAGTCCTGGAATATGCAGTTTAACCATCAGTCTTGGTTCTAATCTCTGAAACCAATCACAAAGTGGGCCAGGATTCATTATAGCCACTTACGAAACCTGTACATCTTTCTTCAATTAAGGTAGCTTAAATTACATTTATTGAACAGTTTACGAGCTCTGAAACACTTAGGTTAATAATAACAATAATAAACTTGGGTTAAGAGGTTTCCAAGCTCGTAAATTGTTTACTGTAAACAAAGCTGCCAAAATTAGGAAAGATGTACAGGTTTCGTAAGTGGTTGAGTAAATGCTTGACGAATCCCAGCCCTGGATTACCAATCGCAAACCCGCGATCGGATCCAATGTTATAATCTGTTTTCAATAAGTTTTTCAAGTTGCCAGAAATATATTAAATTCAACGACTTTAATAGTTTCTAAACCCTTGTCGTGCGCTTAACAGTTTGCAGGGAATCCGATCAGTGAACGAAGTGGACAAGGAACAGGTTTAACAAGCGCGATCACGTTCGAATTTCTGAAGAACTTCAGAAATTCAATTCTGTTTCAGATGAAGTTGGAGAGAATTAGATCCAATAGCATTCAACCTTCCCCTTCATGAGGGATCAACGACCTCCTCTAAGTTAAATTACAACGATGAGGTTCGTTAACCGGCAGTCGCTCGTGTGTGATTATTTGAAAGGTAATTGGCTTTAAATATAACGCCTCGCCACCCATCCTCAGGTTATTTTTATCCAGATATAAAATATTATTATATTTTTTTTGAGATATACACAAGAGTTGTTACATTCTTGTACAGCCACTAGTACGCGTAGCGTTTCGGGCAAGTCCTTAATCCTATGGTTCCTGGAATACGATCCCCGCCGCGAAGAATCGTTTTTTCATCCAAGTACACATTTTACTGTTGCGTTAAACAGAGGCTACAGTTAAGGAATTGCGCCCAGTAAATCCTCCCCGGCCAGGATACGAACCCATGACATAGCGCTCGCGGAACGCCAGGCGAGTGTCTTACCACTACACCACGGAGACTGAACATTTTGTGAACATATCAACATTTTGTGTACAGTTAGGACTAGGTTTGTTAGTTATTTAGGCTCTGTTGGTAATTATCTGTATTTGTTATGAGTGAAGCATTGTAGCAACCCGTCCTTAAACCCTCAACCCGTCCTCGACTCAAGTCCATTACACGTCAGTACACGTGCGACTGTGGGAGGCAGGTTAAATAGGTCATCGTTAATTACTGGTTAATTACCCTATATTATAATAAGCTTGGTCAAATTAGGCTGATCAAAATGATATTTTGACCAGATCAAAGGCACTCGGGTAGTCCTGGAATATTCAGTTTAACCATCAGTCTTTTTTTCTAATCTCTGCAACCAATCACAAAGTGGGCCAGGATTCATTATAGCCACTTACGAAACCTGTACATCTTTCTTCAATTAAGGTAGCTTAGATTACATTTATTGAACAGTTTACGAGCTCTGAAACATGATATTTCAGCTCTGAAACGCTGATCAAAATTATATTTTGACCAGCGTAACGTACAGTCAAGGAGGGAAGGGAATTTTCAGGGGAAAGCGCCAAGCCATTACGACTATATAGCACTGGGAAGGGGTCAGGATACGGATTTGGGATGGGCCGGGGGGAAGGAATGGTGCCCAACCACTTGTGGACGATCGGGGATTGAACGCCGACCTGCGTGAAGGGAGACCGTCGCTCTACCGTCCAGCCCAAGTGCTTGGACATATCGTTAGTAAGGTTAGATTATTATTACCAGTCCGCAATCTATAAAACGTCTCGCATATGGATTATTATTGAGTACAAACAAGGTACTCAATACTACTCAGTCCAAACAATCTGTACCTCATTCAACAATTTTCTGCTGTCTAAACCTCCTTGTCAATTCCCCTGAGGGTTTTGTTGTGGTGATCATGTCTCCCCGAGCTCTTCTGTTTTCCAGCGACGTGAGGTGCAACCTTTAACATCATACATATATGTGATTAATGTACTATGTATTGTGATTATGTTACAGCATATTATATATTCATATATGCAGTTTTCAGGTCGACTATGTCAGTAAGTTCAAAACGCCACGGGCGCAATCGACACGTTACAACCAGTTGTTTCAATAGTGTAACACCACACATGTTTTATTCACTGATGCAAACAGAGTCAGTTCACACGGGCAAATGTGTCGCCAGTCTGTCGGTGCTATACAACAGCAGTCACACCTCAGGAGAGGTCAGGTCGTGACCTGACCCCCTGTGCTAAGCTGCTCACTGCATACAATACAGTAAGCCGTATTAACCATGTCATGGCGCAGGCGACTAAGGCGCGTCTGGGATCATCCCAGACGTAGGTTCGAATCCTCATCACGGCCCTTGTGGATTTGCAGACATTTGTTTGTGTTCTATCCATCAAACGAGCCGCCTCGTCTGGTGTGATGGTCAGATAGCCAGGGAGGGGGGGGGGTATCTCTGGTCGACGTAGGCTTAGTTCTTGCCCCCCCTTCCCCTTTAGAAGGCGAGAAATAGGACATTGATGACAGGATGCTCACTCAACACCGAGAATTCATCTCCAGAGGCCAGGCTCCAGCTTCCTTCCTCAGGTACAACCATGCCGGCAGTGGTCCTTGTTGACTGTTAACCATCACCCCCCCCCCACCCCTCCCCCAATAACCAATACTCAGACTTCTCTAAGTTTGGGTGAGAGGCAATGGATTGTGTGTTCCTAAATTATATATATTGTGAAATTTCCGGAGCAGTTAGCCGTATTGGTCTAAATTTTCTGTGTGCACCGACTCCGATTCTTGGTTAGTGCACATCAATTCCCTCTTGAAGCCTTTTGACCAATCAAAGACCTCCACTTCAATTCTCTCCTGAACCCCTTCGACCAATCAAAGACCTCCATGACAACTCCCTCCTGAACCCCTTCGACCAATGAACGACCTCCACGTTAATTCCCTCCTGAAGCCTTTCGACCAATCAAGGACCTCCACAAATTCCCTCCTGAACCTGGTTGATACCTAGTTGTATACCTGGTGAACCCATTCGACCAATCAACGACCTCCACGTCAATTCTCTCCTGAACGCCTTCGACCAATCAAGGACCTCCAGGTGGCACACTCACCCTATGGCCGCGGTACATCTGGTCGTCCGATATATCGTAGTCATCCTCGTCGTCGAGATCGACTCCATCTGGCAGTCTGACATCGTCGTCGTAGCCGTCGAAGTCATCGTCGCCGACGGACCTGTCTAGCAGCTGGTGCTCGTTGAAGTCGCTATCGGCCGGCGACCCAAGCTCTCCCAAGATGGCGTCCAGCTGTACAATGAGAAAAAATATATGAATAAATATACAAGGGCCGTGATGAGGGTTCGAACTTACGTCCAGGATGATCCCAGATGATCCCTGAAAAAAATATATTCAAGAACATAATAATTAACTGCAGAAGGCCTATTGGCCCCCCGCACGTGGCAGAGCAGCTATTCCACCCCCCAGGAAGCAGCCCGTGACAGCTGACTAACTCCCAGGTACCTATTTACTGCTAGGTAACAAGGGCATCAGGGTGAAAGAAACTCTGCCCATTGTTTCTCGCCGGCGCCCGGGATTGAACCCGGGACCACAGGATCACGCGTCCAGTGTTCTGTCCGCTCAGCCATCGGCTCCCGTAAGATACAGTTGGAGAATAACATCAGGCGTTTTATTACTAACATGACTTCTAGACATGACTCCCAGTGTCCTATTTGCTTCTACCTTCGATCATTCATGCACTGATATTTTTGGCTATAAATTCTTACTAATCACGACTCTGAAATTTTTCGCACTTCGAAATCTCAACACCACCCAGCTGACAGCCTGTAACTATCATCACTACCAAGCCTCATAACCGTACATTTGTCAGCATTAAACTGTAACTGCCAATCTTTTGACCATGTCGAAACACTGTCTAGAACGTCTTGAAGTAATTTTGAGACGTCAGAGTTTAGTACTCTCCCGATTTTTGTATCGTTAGCAAATTTTCAAATACTGATCCTCAATCCAAAATCTAAATCATTTTTATAGTGTGGTTAGATTAGCCAGCCCGTCCAACCCGTCCCAGGAACACAACCACGTCCAACCCGTCCCAGGAACACACCACCCCGTCCAACCCGTCTCAGGAACACACCACCACGTCCAACCCGTCCCAGGAACACACCACCCCGTCCAACCCGTCCCAGGAACACACCACCCCGTCCAACCCGTCCCAGGAACACCACACCACGTCCAACCCGTCCCAGGAACACACCACCCCGTCCAACCCGTCCCAAGAACACCACACCACGTCCAACCCGTCCCAGGAACACCACACCACGTCCAACCCGTCCCAGGAACACACAACCACGTCCAACCCGTCCCAGGAACACACCACCACGTCCAACCCGTCCCAAGAACACACAACCACGTCCAACCCGTCCCAGGAACACACCACCCCGTCCAACCCGTCCCAGGAACACACCACCACGTCCAACCCGTCCCAGGAACACACCACCACGTCCAACCCGTCCCAGGAACACACCACCACGTCCAACCCGTCCCAAGAACACACCACGTCCCAAGAACACCCCACCACGTCCAACCCGTCCCGGGAACACACCACCACGTCCAATCCGTCCCAGGAACACACCACCACGTCCAACCCGTCCCAAGAACACCCCACCACGTCCAACCCGTCCCAGGAACACACCACCACGTCCAACCCGTCCCAAGAACACCCCACCACGTCCAACCCGTCCCAGGAACACAACCACGTCCAACCCGTCCCAGGAACACACCACAACATCCAACCCGTCCCAGGAACACACCACCACGTCCAATCCGTCCCAGGAACACACCACCACGTCCAACCCGTCCCAGGAACACAACCACGTCCAACCCGTCCCAGGAACACACCACCACATCCAACCCGTCCCAGGAACACACCACCACGTCCAATCCGTCCCAGGAACACACACAACCACGTCCAACCCGTCCCAGGAACACACCACCACGTCCAACCCGTCCCAAGAACACCCCACCACGTCCAACCCGTCCCAGGAACAACCACGTCCAACCCGTCCCAGGAACACACCACATCCAACCCGTCCCAAGAACACACCACCACGTCCAACCCGTCCCAAGAACACCCCACCACGTCCAACCCGTCCCAGGAACAACCACGTCCAACCCGTCCCAGGAACACACCACCACATCCAACCCGTCCCAGGAACACACCACCACGTCCAATCCGTCCCAGGAACACACCACCACGTCCAACCCGTCCCAGGAACACAACCACGTCCAACCCGTCCCAGGAACACACCACCACATCCAACCCGTCCCAGGAACACACCACCACGTCCAATCCGTCCCAGGAACACACACAACCACGTCCAACCCGTCCCAGGAACACACCACCACGTCCAACCCGTCCCAGGAACACACCACCACGTCCAACCCGTCCCAGGAACACACCACCACGTCCAACCCGTCCCAGGAACACACCACCACGTCCAACCCGTCCCAGGAACACACAACCATATGATTACAATTATTATGTTGTATTTGCTTGCAAAAAGCCAACCTATAATTATTATTATAATTATAGGGAAGGGCGCTAATGTATATAACTAAGCTGTGATTCATACGTCAGGCTGCCGCGTCCAACAGCCTGGTTAACCAGAACATTATACCGGAAGGCCTGGTCAGAGACCGGGCCTCGAAGCCATTTGATCCCCGGAACCTCCCCAAGGTTAATCCTTCACTGGTCATTGGGGACCTTAATGCTCGGCACACAAGCCTTGGGACAGTGGGTAGTATTAATGCTAATGGGGTCAAGTGGTTACAGTTTCTACAAGATCATCCAGATACCTGTCTCTTGGGAAACAATGAACCAACTCACATCAGGGGAGGACGGCTTGACTATGCCTGCGTTTTAAACTCTCAGGGGATTATGGGGGAGGCTCGGGTTGTTCGGGAACTACTTAGTGACCACTTTGCCTTGAACGTTGAATTACCACTGGGGAAAAAACAAGTCCACTTTCAAAGGAAAAGGCTAAATATTAAGAAAGATATGAAAAATTATTTTATTCAAAATATGGGAGATTGGTATCAACATTACACGCCGCTCTGCGTTGATAGTTTTTACGAGGACATGGTCGAGAACATAGAGAAATTAGTACAGAGGGAAAATAACGGGGGCAGGGGAAGCAAGACGCACGGACCTAAGAAATTTAAATATTCCAATGATCAGCAAGTCAAGGGATGGGAGAGAATGCTACGGGGTGCGCATAAAGCATGGTTAAAAAATGGAATGAGGGATGAAGAGAAAAATACAATGTTGGAAGTGGCTAGGGAATGCAGTCAGGTGAGGAAGGAGGCGCGGGACAGATACTGGCAAGACTTTGCTCAGGCCATTGGTAATACTAAGAACCTTAAAGACATATGGAGAGCAGTAAATAAAGTCAGGGGTTGTAAGACCAAATTCATTGCTCACTCAGATCCAGGGAAAGTTGCTAATGAGTTAGTAGATAAATGGGCAAGTGCTGCTGGTATGGAGTCCTTACCTGCAGACACGAGAGTCACCATTGAGTCATGGGAAAATATTAGAAATGGAGTAACTTTATGTGCCTTAAATACAAGATCTATAGCATGCACTGAGATAACCCACGATGAGCTACTGGATGCTATAAAAAGTGGCAGCTCCACTGCTCCGGGAAAAGATGGAGTAACGTATGACATACTTAATTATTTAGCCGGTATGAAACCTAATCCCTTACTTGATTTGTTTAATATGAGTTATAGAGAGGGAAAGTTACCAAGAAAATGGAAAGAGGCTGTCATCATTCCTATCCCTAAGTCAAACGGAGGCTACAGACCTGTCTCCTTAATATCCTGCTTTTGTAAAATGATGGAAAGGATTTTGTTAAATAGGCTACTCTACCTTGTAGGTGATAACATGTCCAATAATCTCTTTGGTTTTATCAAAGGCAAAAGTACTGCGGATTGTCTCTTAAAGTGTTTGTCTAATGTGGATGACAATTGTAGAGTTTTTGTTGATCTACAAGGAGCGTTTGATAAAGCCAATGGGGAAGTAATCTTATACGAATTAGCCAATCTGGGAATAACAGGGAGATTGCTACACTGGATAAGGGATTACCTGCAAGGCAGAAAAGGTCAGGTGTATTACCAGGGATACATGTCTGAGGAACGGAGGTTTCAGTTAGGTACCCCACAAGGGGGAGTATTAAGTCCCACCTTATTCAATGTATTAATGAACAGATTAGCATCAGAGATGTATCCTCCAGGGGTCACGACGATCATATATGCTGATGACATTCTTATACAAGGCACTTCTGGGAACAAAATTCAAGATGCTCTTAACATACTTGGTACAACCTGTCACAAGTTAGGCTTAGTTATAAATGCAGATAAAACCAAATACGAGTATAGGAAACGAAGAAATATAACACTTACTCTAAATGGTGTGGAACTGAGCCGTGTACAGAAGTACAAGTATCTGGGCATGTATGTTGGATACACATGTGAGAGTAAAAATGCTGAAATAAATCATATCAGCACCTTATGTAAAGCCCGTCTGCATCCTCTAAAAGCACTGGCTTTTTCTGGTAAAGGTGTTGGGGTACCTATCTTGCGGATGTTATACATAAGCACTGTTCGCTCCCTGATAGACTACGCAGCACCCGTATTGTCTTACACAGGCCAAGGCAGAATTCAAAAAATAGAGCTGATACAGAACGAGGCTATGAGGATTATTCTTGGATGTCAAAGAAATGCAATGATTGAAATAATGAGAATGGAATTAAATTTACAGAGTGTGTGTGATAGAGTCCGTGACATTAACACTAGAGTATCTATTCGTTTCATGCGGAGAAAAGGAGGGGATAAGCTGTTTGAGAGCGTTCAGACCTGCTTGAGTGACGTACACACTTCCAGGAAACTGAGGGAGACACGCTATACGAGAGGATTAGCTCATGACCTCAGGGAATACGACGTACTTGACTGCTGTAAACCCTCTCGAAAGTGTAATATGTCTGCTCCCTGGAAAGTACAGAAAATAGACGTCGAAATTGTACCCCTCAAGGTGAAAAAGATTCATCATGAACCGGGACAATTACGGTGTTTGTATGGAAGCATGATATCTCGGTTACCAAGAGGCAACAGTTTACATGTATATTGCGACGGGTCGGTGGCGGAGGATGGCAGGGCAGGGTGTGGTGTCCTAATAAGGGATTATACGGAGTTTGGGACTGTGGACAGGATAATTGAACTCCGGCTTAGTAATTATATATCATCCACACAAGCTGAACTGCAGGCCATTCTGGCGTGTTTGGAGGAAGTACGTCATGACGACAAAAATGTTTTTGTATTTGTCGATAGCCGAGGAGCACTGGAGTCCTTAAACAGTCGAAACCCAGTCTTCATGTCTATAGTGGAGGACTGTAAGAGAAGAATAACTGAGATACAGCTGAAAGGTTAAAGTCATCCGCCACCTCGTTGAGCACTATTCCAACGTGGATTCCATCTCACGTTGGAATAGTGCTCAACGAGGTGGCGGATGACTTGGCCAAACGTGCCACATCAAAACCACAAGTTGACATTGAATGTGAATTCACAATGAGACAAATAAGAAGCAAAATCAGAAATATTCAGGCACAGGCGGGAGTGGAGAGGAGAGAGATAATGTATGAGAGTAGTCAAACCATGCAACACTACATGTATGTGAGTCAAAACACCCATTTCACTTATGGTAAAAGGAGAAATGCTTGGAGTGACTCTGTGTACATGCGGCTCAGGCTTGGGTACAAATATTACTGGGAATATGGGATAGATGTTCATGGTAATGACACGAAGTGTAAACTATGTGGTATGTTAAGGTCTCACACCCTTGCCCATTATATTCTTGATTGTCCGTTGATTAGTGTATATAGAAACACTGAGATAAGGACTGTTCCTGAACAAATAGCCTGGATGTGTCACAACGGAAAGGTTGATGATATTCTTGAGAGATATAAGAATTTTGCACCAAGATTGTAATATTTTGTTGAATTATCTGCAGGTGTCTTGCAATTTGTCTATACAGTATACCTAGGTCATAAAAGTATTTGTGTGTACGTCTGATAACATACTACTTGTGAAGGAGGAAATGTATATTTTTACCTCTCAAAATGTTTGGTAATGTGTTTATTTGTGATGTGTGTATATGTATATATTAACACGTTGTACTGAATGGGGTGAGAATAGCTTGAGCTACCTCATCCCTTTGTGTGTATTTTACCTCAATAAACTTATTTCAATTTCAATTTCAATTTCCCCAAGGTAACCGGTAGGTATGTAGGGGCTAATTTATACAACTGGGGAGGGGCATAAATTATATAACTGGGGAGAGGGGATAAATTATACAACTGGGGAGAAAGGGGGGGGGGGAGAAGAGACTGAAGAGAAGATGGGAGAGAATGTCTCCACTACCCTTGTGGAGACATGGTTGCTCCCCCCCCCCATCTCTCCATTAATTGCTAAACTACCCAATTTCACCCCTAATTAGCACAAAGGTAACCCAAATTGCGTCGAGGGGGGTCGATATTACTCGGGTATGGGGGAAAGGTAAGGATGATGATGATGGTAGTGGTGGTGGTGGTGATGGTGGTGGTGGTGGTGGTGGTGGTGGTGGTGGTGGTGGTGGTGGTGGTGGTGGTGATGGTGGTGGTGGTGGTGGTGGTGGTGGTGGTGGTGGTGGTGGTGATGGTGGTGGTGGTGATGGTAGTGGTGGTGGTGGTGGTGGTGATGGTGGTGATGGTAGTGGTGGTGGTGGTGGTGGTGATGGTGGTGATGGTGGTGGTGGTGATGGTGGTGGTGGTGGTGGTGGTGGTGGTAGTGATGGTAGTGGTGGTGGCGGAAGTGGCAGCGATTATAAGCAATCGTTTGTTTCACGAAATCAATAACTGACACCTTACAATAAATAACATTTATGTAATCAATAACTGATATCGTGTAATCAATCCCCGATATCCTGTAATCACTGATATCGTGTAATCATACAACCCCATCCTCCTGTTTAGACAGTACCTATTATGACAGTCGTCAATAGTCAGAATTCGTATGTTCTTGGCGATTAGATAATAGTATACTGACTAGTAAGAAATTCTTCCAAAATAAATGAAGCTAAAACACAAACTTAAATATTCCTAGGCCTAGTATAGTACACATATGTACTACATTAGGCCTCAGATATCGTGTATTAGGTCTAGGGAAGTTAGGTTAGGATAGTCTAAATTTGTCAAAGCAACGAAAGTAAAAAAAATAGTTTTCTAGTTTGTTCAACTCAACAGTTCAGATTTCAACGTTGTAATTTCGTTGTATATCGGTGTATGTACTATGGTCCTTATCGTTACTATAAGTACTATCAAAACAGGAGTATGGGTGTAATGAGCGTGTGATTACATTGATATCAGTCTATGATTACATTGATATCAGCATGTGATTACATTGATATCAGCATGTGATTACATTGATATCAGCATGTGATTACATTGATATCACTAATCACACACTAATATCATTGTAATCACAAGCTGATATCACTGTAATCACAAGCTGATATCAATGTAATCATATTAATAATCAATTAATATACCGATATCAACTACTAACACAGCATGGTGAACCTGACATACTAACCACTCCTATTAAAACACTCAAGTAACATTTGACAACAAATTACAATAGCAAAAACGTTATTCATGTATGTTTGTGTATTGGTAATGGAGTTAGCAAACCTAATTACCTAATTACACTTGCTGTTACAGTCTGTCGAGCTCTGATCCGCTGGAATTTAAAATAAATTGCCATAGCCTATGTTTCCATTTTGTATCTAATTTATTTAAAAATTAAAGTACACTATAATTAGGTCAGGAAGAATAGGAGGACCTAAGAAACAAATATTAGTCCTCGTGGAGGCCACTAGAGATGGTTGTCCTCAGGTAAATTCAGGTAATCAATCTCGACCACTTAAACACATTAGCTTATACTTTAAGATATGTATCAGTGTTAAATACCACTCTAAAATACATAACCAAAAAGATCACTTTAAAGCCTGCTTAATTAGCACCTTTATAAACACATTCCATAATCATATTATAAACGTATACAATTATTAATAAATAAATGGAATAATAAATAATTAATAAATGGAATGCACTAGGAAATGATGTGGTGGAGGCTGACTCCATACACAGTTTCAAATGTAGATATGACAGAGCCCAGTAGGCTCAGGAACCTGTACACCAGTTGATTGACAGTTGAGAGGCGGGACCAAAGAGCCAAAGCTCAACCCCCGCAAGCACAACTAGGCGAGTACTCAGCCTTGTCCCTGGTGTGGAGATGAAACCAGCACCTCCCGGGTCTCCCCTCTCTCCATGAACTAGCCTAGACCAGGACTTACTGCTGCTAGCTTAGCCACCACAAAAGTGTGTGTAGCCTAAGGTCGGCAATCTGGCCGGTGCCTCACTTATTGCCAGATCATCTGTCAATTTAGTGGTAAAATACCCTCAGCATAAAGGTCCTTTATTGTATGTACTCAATATGTATACCCGGCCTCTGGCAAAAATATCGAGTGTGCAGATCGGAATAATTCCAGACATGTGTAAAATATATATACATATTGCACATACGTGCGTACAGATACATATGTATCTATACGTAAATATGTACATTGCGACCAACTAATAAAATAATTGTCAAATATGAGAACACTTCATATGAATTGGAATACAATATGGCAACACGGCTCAGTTGCCAATCACCCGCGCATACTGTATTATATTTTATTAACACCTGTGCTGGAACTTGGTCATACAACACTGAAAACTAAGTGACAACTCTTAGTTTGTTGTCACTCAACTAAGTGACAGCAACTCTTATTGAATATATATATATATATATATATATATATATATATATATATATATATATATATATATATATATATATATATATACACACACACACACACACACACAATCTTACAATAGAGTGTACCTGTTCAACAAATAATATTTCATTAGGCTCTTTCCCTACATAATCTTCTCCAACAAATTTAATATTACTCTCGCTCATATACTGGTTCGCCTTAATCTTCTGAATTAACTTACAATTATTCTTGATTAAGCAATGAGTTTACCCGTATACATAAATAAATCAACCGGTTCACTCGCCACAAGAAAATTATTCCATGTTCCTAGAACACTTCACGTCAACATCTGAGAGGGAATAGAGAGAGGATTTCATCTACCTTTATACAAAGTGTGCTTCATTCTTAGTAGCTTGTTGAGGTTGGTAGATGGGTTCACCAGGTCTAATGTATCTCTTAAGAGTGCTCCCAGACTAGACGCTCCTCCTAGCGGGACCAACAAGTGACGTGACCTGTCACCTTGATCACCTGAGACGCACTGACGGGCTGCAGTTTTTCCCGCCTTGAGCTTGAGGCACCGACGTCACAGTCTGTCACGCCCAGGGCGCTCTCTGATTGGTCACGCCCCACACCTTCAACCAATCACAGTCTCCAGAACTCGGGAGACTTGGTGTCTTCACACCCGGAGTATTTTGGCGGGATTTTCGTCGCCGTCCACCCGGGTCGAGCCGCCATATTGGCTGCAGAGCTCACTCTCACCTCTTTCCCACCGAACTTAAAAAATTTAAATTTTCAGCATTTTGCCTCCCTCAAAGTATAATCAAGAAATACTAGGTATCTTCTGGGTTATGTACGACGTGGAGTATGACTTAAAAGGCGGGAGAGGAGAGTATTTCGAAGGTCTATCTAACAATATGAATCATCATTCGAATACAAAATGTTATTTTCATTACATGTATAAAGAATTGGAGGAATAGAAGCCAGTTATTATATATATATAATCATATCATTATATAATATCTACATATAAACATAAAACATCTGAATACATAAAATATTCATGTTTTTGTAAAAAAAAATATATTAATAAGCCCAAAAAAATTCCAAATAAGCCTAAAATAGCATGAACAAACCCAGTCACGACAAAAGCCCTATTTTCCCATTTACTCCGACTAACGAGCCAATTCAGGGAGCAAACAAGTCCGTGGTAATTGGCATTTAAAGAGATCGTTTCAGGTGCAATTCCCCCTAGGTCTAAACAAGGGAAGCCGCAAACGCGCCTCCCTCACCAGCACCAACAGACAAAGGGATCAAAAACGTAGATTTCAATTAGAGAGCAATTTCATGTTCTGACGGCAAATGACACTTGAATAACGATGAATGAGCGGTAGATGAAGAGGCTGATGAATATCTGAATAAATGAAAATGAAAGGAGATTTTTTCGAGTGGTGTTCGTTCTCACTCTATAAAAAAAATGCAACTGTTTTCCCTACCCATAGACGTACAAACCCATACAACCCACTTAACATACTGAGCCCGATGCACAGAAAACGTCACTTTTACAGTGCTTCAAATACGTACTAAAACTTTGCATTTGTAAATGATTGGTTGATTTCGTAAAAACAATTTTCCGTATTTAATACGTGATCAATGAGGGATGATTTAACGTAAAAATACCTTAGAAAGCAAGTTTTCTTCTCATTTTTAGAAACCACTGACAAAACTATTTTCTAGAAAGGATTGGAATATAAAAACTGATCAAACATTATTTTTGTTTACCAGGAAACAAGGCCATAAACAAGTATATTGTTTGTTTCAGATAACCAAAACTCCATTTAATTTTGCTTACAAGCAAAATGATATACACATATATTTAAGCTAATTTCCAATACCTCCGTAGCATCAAATAACTGTTTATGAATGAGCATAAAATTTGCATTAAAGTTACATATATCTTCCTTAATCATATGTTTGGTCTATGTCTTTATTTACAAGAACTTGAGATTAAAGGCGAAAAAAGAACTTAACCTCAAGAACAACAAGAGATTACACACAGAGATCACACTAACGTGATGCATCAAATGAACAAATCCACAAGGAATTTGTGTACCTTGTCTAACCCTGTCGTAGCTCAGTCGATTAAGGCAGTGTCTGGGATGCTCCCGGACGCAGGTTCGAATCCTCGTCACGGCCCTTGTGGATTTGTTCATTTAACAAGAGGTTAAGTTAGCTGAAGAACGGCTTTCAAGTCATACAAGGCAATGTCTATTTATATCCATCTAAACCCATTCACATATATGTCTAGCCTACGCTTTTGAATGTGTTCATTGTGGATTTAAGAACGACTTAAGATAACACAGATGGATGTTCCTACTTTATATATATAGGATAAACAGTAGAGGCACTAAGAAACCCTGCGGCACTCCTCCAACAATACCTGAGGTATACTTGCAGGATACATGGATGCATGATACGTGGATACAGGGAGATAATTCTGGGAGTAAAGCCTACTCCACAAGCCTGGTTTATCTTGCGATACCCCTCTCTCAGGCTCTTGCTTAGAACTGCCCGCAGGCCCACTACATCCTGGTTGGTCAGCCACTTCCTGCAGAAACGTGTCTAATTGCAACAGTTTCAACACTGCATATACTTCCTTTACTGGGGTAGTCTCTAGCAACTGGCGTGTCTTGTTGAGGCAGAAGAGAGAACAGTAGCAAGTGGAGGATGATTAAGACCAAGATGGGGAGGAGGAACAGTAGTTGGAGAAATTGGAAAAGCAAAGTGAGTAAGAAGAAAAGTCGGAGGAACCATACATGGAGGAAGAGAAGATAAATAAAAAAATAAAACAGCACAAGACAAATTGAGACAAATCATATGGAGAGAGAGAGAGAGAGAGAGAGAGAGAGAGAGAGAGAGAGAGAGAGAGAGAGAGAGAGAGAGAGAGAGAGAGAGAGAGAGAGAGAGAGAGAGAGAGAGAGAGAGAGAGAGAGACATATGCAGAGAGAAACAGACACAATGAGAAACAGAGCAGGCAGAGACAGGCAGAGAGAGAAGCAGAACAGATAAGGGAATCTATATATCCTTTTCAGAACGAAGAAAATCCCCCACGTAGAGGCTTTGATCCCACAGAATGTTTGATCAGAGGATAATCCTGGCCTGGTCAGCAGAAATACTTATATCAGAGAAATGCACGATCCACCACCACACCTAGAACCTTACCTTATACTCAGGAAAAGTATATTACAATACCTTATACCCAAAAAAAGTATACTACAATAACATGTACACAGGAAAAGTATATTGCAACACCTTATACTCAGGAAAAATATGACAAAAATATCGAAAAATATGACTTTTGTCCGGTATTTTTTAACGGAATTCAGGGTGACTGCACATATTTGGAGTTTCAAACTACGATTTATTATACCAAAAATCTACAAGTTTGTGAAAACGACGATTGGTCATATTTTGCCCAAATCCAGCAGCTTTTAAAATACGACGCCAATAGGAAATATGACTTATGCGTTATTTTTTTAAATAATACAAGAGTGAAAATAAATATTTTCACTTAAAATAAATATTATAAATATTAATATTTATAATATTTATATTATACACATTTTATTTATATTTTCACAAAAAATATTCGGAAAATAAACCTAAACAGGGAGATCGAAGAAATTGAACAAACGTTGAAGCGATCATACGAGTCTGAGGAAATGGAATAGAACAGAAAGCTATACTAAAGATGAAGAAAAATACGAAATATTTTTTCACATACGCAAAATCAAAATCAAAAACCTCCACCAGTATTGGACCGTTAATTACAACTGAAGGTACGTACACAGAGGACAACAAAGAAATTAGTGAAATTCTAAGAAGCCAGTATGAGGCTATGTTTAGCACACCAATAAACAACATGAAAGTTGATGACCCAGACAGTTTCTTTATGAATGACATCCAAGCTCCAGATAATATAACTGATATTAAAACGAACTTGGAAGACTTTGAAAGAGAAATTGACAATATGCCTATGCACTCAGCTCCTGGGCCTGACTCATGGAATTCAATATTAATAAAGAAATGTAAAGTACCAGTAGCGAGAGCACTCAGCGTAATATGGAGAAAGAGCCTGGATACAGGGGAGATACCAGCAGCACTTAAATCTACAGATATAGCTCCTCTGCACAAAAGGGGTAGAGGAGTTATTTTTTGCCTTGGCAAAAAATTATAGACCAGTTGCATCACACAACATAAGTTTTTGAAAGAGTGATTGGGAATCAAATTTCTAGTTTTATGGAAAACGATGAGTTACACAACCCAGGACAACGTTGATTTAGAGCTGGAAGATCCTGTCTGTCACAGTTACTCAACCACTATGACAAAATCACAGAAGTTTTAGAAGAAAAGCAAAATGCAGATGTTATATACACAGACTTTGCAAAGGAGTTCGACAAATGTGACCATGGGGTGATAGCTCACAAAATGAGGTCAATGGGAATAACTGGAAAAGTAGGACGCTGGATACTCAAATTTCCTGTCGAACAGAACACAAAGTGTAACAGTCAATCAGATAAAATCGAGTCCAAGCGAAGTTAAAAGCTCTGTACCTCAAGGTACAGTCCTTGCACCGCTACTGTTCCTTATTCTCGTATCAGATATAGACAAAATACAAGTCACCACTTCGTGTCATCCTTCGCAGATGACACAAAAAGCAGCATGATAATTACCTCTGCTGAAGACATTGAAAAACTACAAGCAGATGTCAACAAAGTTTTCGATTGGGCAGCAGACAATAACATGATGTTTAACATTGATAAATTTCAGGTACTCAGGTACGGCAAAACTGAGGACCTTAAACATAATACAGGGTACAAAACATAATCAAATATGCATACCAAGCAAATATTGCGGCAGCTAGAAAAACGATAGGATGGATTACGAGAACTTTCAAATTCAGAGATCCCATCACAATGGTTGTACTCTTCAAATAATTTGTGTTGTCCCGTCTTGAGTACTGCTCAGTACTCACTTCCCCTTCAGAGCAGGAGAGATTGTTGAAATAGAGGGAATACAGAGAACATATACGGCATACATAGGCGCGATAAAGCACCTAAATTAATGGGATCGTCTCAAAGCCCTCCTAATATACTCACTAGAAAGAAGACGAGAGAGATATCAAATAATATACACCTGGAAGATACTGAAGGGACAGGTCCCAAATCTTCACAGAAAAATAACAACGTACTGGAGTGAACGATATGGAAGAAAATGTAGAATAGAACCAGTGAAGAGCAGAGGTGCCATAGGCACAATCAGAGAACACTGTATAAACATCAGGGGTCCGCGGTTGTTCAATATCCTCTCAGCGAGTATAAGAAATATTGCCGGAACAACCGTGGACATCTTCAAGAGAAAACTAGATTGTTTTCTTCAAGAAGTGCCGGACCAACCGGGCTGTGGTGGGTATGTGGGCCTGCGGGCCGCTCCAGGCAACAGCCTGGTGGACCAAACTCTCA